CTATGTAACCATACTCGGCACGTACCTCGGAAAGGAATGCATTATTATAGCAAGTGGCAGAGATACGACTGAAATTTAGGCGTATTAAAGTTATGTGAGAGAGAGAGAGAGAGAGAGAGAGAAAGAGAGAGAGAGAGAGAGAGAGAGAGAGAGAGAGAGAGAGAAAGAGAGAGAGAGAGAGAGAGAGAGAAATAATCGCTTAAAGATGTCCCAGCATTGGCATGGCCACTGGACGGAAGATGCGTTTACTGCGAAAAGATTGCGAAATTGGGAAGTGCCTAAATGGCATCCCAGTAGGCCAGATAGACATTGCGCTACTACAAAATTTATCGCAAACGACAACGGACATATATTGGACGATGCTAAAAAAGCCAAGTACTCGCCATGGGGAATATACAAGGTTTGCTTCAATCGCCATTACAAATGCACATTGCAATTACACATGCACATTAATCATCTTTGTACCTTTACGCAAAGTAGAAAGCACCATTTCCTACATTTAAATTTAGAATTATACAGAAATTATACAGAATATATACAAATTTTAATAATGGATATTACGACAAGACGACGTGGGATTTGCCAAAAAGGATTACCAGAAGCATGGCGGAAGAATTATCAGCAACTCCTCAGTATGAGAAAGAAGCATGGGGATTACATAATAAGAAACATGAGAATCTATGTAAGAAGATGAAACAAGCAATGAAGAAGACAAAGACAAGAAAAGACATGGAGTCACCAACAGAGACAGTAAAGAGAGATCAAATAGATGAGATTCAAGAATCACAACAAGCACAGGGTTCAGATTCAGAAAAAGATTCTTGTGTAAATGCTGAGAAAAATGAAGAAAGTCGACAGAACATATAGCAAGCTATATTTCTCAGTTTGTACCCTGTGAGGCGAAAGAGATGCATATTTGCACGATGATACTCTCTCATAGCAGGACTCCACGGGTAAACTTCGTTCATTGTGGATTTCCACCAAATTAATATCTGCAAGAGCAAATTTTTCTTTAGAGTTTTTACTTGTCGAGTAAAATTTTCCTTAGTGATTTGTAAAAAGTATCTAGAAACTATTTACCAGATCTTCTGACTTGTTTACTTGAACTTTCTTATCCAACTTACGTCCATTGGGCACAAATATATCTGTTGTGCTCAATTTAGGCTCTAGCTTGTTGATATTGTCAAACACATGACTTTTTGGTTTTGTCAAATATACTACTGTTACTTCATTATCATTGTATGTACAAACTATATGACTTTTAGTAATTATCACTGTAAGTGAAATAGGAAGATGCATTATTTCTTAATTGTATAAACAGCTTGGTGAATGAAACAAAAATTTACCGTCTGATGCATGCTCTGACAATTTTCCTACGAGATATTTGTCAAAATTAATTTTCTCTATGTCACCACTGAAGGGATAAATTTGTATATGCGCCAATAAACCGTTGCTGAACATTAGTTGTGCGATTCGATCACTGTACCATTGACAATAAATTATAGAATTGTCCCTGAGTTGATCCTGCAAATGATACAAACGTTTTGCAATATGTCCTATAAAATTTGGCCAAAAACATCTGATAGATCGTACTTCCAAGTACTTGATGTAATCCTTCAATCTATTTCCCTTCTTGTTGACTGGCACATAAATCATATCACGCTTTTCACAGTAGGATCTTTTACCTTCTTGATGCGTGCTATTAATTCGTTTGTCATGATACCTGAAAGATACCAAAAGGATTAGATTATCGCAGTACCGTAACAAGAGATACAATTACGGAAAAGAGCGAAGAGTTTGTTCATTGCAAATGAGATATTTTCTTACTTGAATGCACCGAAATCCGTGTCTCTTATGTTTACATTGTCGTCGAAGGTCCAGAGATTTAGCTCTCCCATTAACGCGAACATTACGACAGAAGCACAGTTAACTATCAAGAGTACACGCACCCTGTATCCCTACATAATAAACAACAACATGCGCTAACGCAGGCTATGCTCGCTCCGTTTTAATCCTGCGTTTCCGCGCACGCGTGACTGCCAGCAACGGAGTATCGAGAGCCTCCACTTATGTCCCCCGTTTCTACCTGGTGCGCTAACACACACTTGAGAGTGACGAGGTTCGCCTTCATCGTTCTCTTATTCAGAGGTGCCGCAGTCGTCGAGCGGACGCGTAACTTGCGCGATCGAGAGGGACGGAGCGTGGAACTCGTTTTTGCTCATCCGTATGTTTCGCAAGCCGCCGCGAGTCAAAGTTAGTTATCTATTGGTTGTGTTCAGCAGATAAAGCTGCTTTGCAACTGCTGTAAAATTCGTGTGAATCTAACTGGCGTATGCTCTTAAATTTGGCTGAATCCAATCGGATTCACGAATTTTACAACATTTACAAAGCAGCTCTCTCTCTGCTGCAACATAGCCTTTGACAAGCTGGTTCATTACCCATTATCGTCGTGGTGTATTAGCGACGCGATTGCAAAATCGCTCTCATATATACATATATACTACCATGCAGCAGCGCATTCTGACGTAGTACGGTCGAGTTTTCCTCTCAATCCACGCGGCTTCGTCAACGCTTCGTTGTATTTACAACACATTCCGTCGCGATAATTTGGACTCTCACACGTCGAGTACAACGTTCATCGGCAAGAAATGGCATTGATACAAAGGCTACAGGGACTCTGCAGGCCGATGCTCCTCGCCCTTGGTTCGAATAGCGTCAAGTGTAAGGCTAGTCGGCAATCGCTCGCGAAAATCACTTCCACCACGCAACCGCTCTTCGAAAAGCAAGAGTGAGTAAGAAAGTCTTAGGGCAGCGCACGTTGCTGCTCCCTCTTCGTCGTTTTTCAATGAAACCTAAAAAAGATAAATATTCACCGTATTCGTCGAGCTATAAAAGATCCAAAGTGAAATGTTCAGTTAATAAATTTGTCAAATTCTCGTTTATTTCTATCTACTTTTGATATTCTGTGAAATTTATAGTCTTCATACAAATTTTTTGTTTATCCTCTTTATCGAACTACATGTACTTTCTACTCTTTACAGCGAAGCATAGCACTGAAACAATTAGTAAAATTGTTGTGGAACTGTTAACTGTGTTAGCACCTTTCTCATTTAAGAAGTGTACTCTAAAATTTCCGTAAAGAGAAAACGTACTTTACCACTAATATTCATTGAAGCCTGTGTTTTTAAAAAAAAGATCCGTTTTACTTTCTTCTTACGTTACTATGATATACAGGGTGATGCGGAACAATTTCTTGTTCTAGATATACCGTATTCTTGAAAATCCTAAGGCTGTTTTTCTTGTTATCCGATGCTTAGTTATTGAGTTATTAAGATAAATAGTTCGTCTATTACCGGCAGGCAGGGGCGGAACAATTGACGTTGGGCGCTTGGTGCGATTCGTACACATTACTTTTAAAAATTAAAAATTTTAATAGTCGCAGGTGCAATAGCAAATTTAGTGTTATAAATTAGTAGGATATCATAATGTAACATTATGAGAACAGAATATTCGATATTACGCGACCGAAACCTATTGATGAAATACGCGAACGAAAAAAAAAGTTGTTCCGGATCATACTGTATATAATAAGCAAATAACATAGAGGAAAATAAATGCTAAATATTTCTTTCAGAGTCAGTATAACGTTTGTTAAAGCTAGTGGGGAAAGAATAACAGCAAAAGGCAGAGAAGGAGATAGTATATTAGATATTGTTGTGAATAACGAAGTTGATTTAGATGGTTACGGTATGAAAATTTTACCTTTGTACTCAAATAAATACTGTTTTCTTCATAATTACATATTTTTGTGATAATATATAGACACATTCATTATCTTGTACACAGGTGCTTGTGAAGGAACATTGACATGCAGTACTTGTCATTTAATTTTCCCCAAAAAAGTTTATGATAACCTCCCAAATAAACCCTCAGAAGAAGAGTTGGATATGTTAGACTTGGCGTACGAATTAACTGACACGTAAGTTCAAAAAATAAATTTTTAATTGTATTTCTACTAGTTGAAGAAGAAAGAAATTTCTAAGTGTGAAAGGACCATAAACAAAGGAGGAGACATTCTCTAAATTTTACTTTATAATATCTATTACATCTATTCATGAAGTAACTTCCCCCATTTACATCTCCACAAGAAGCTTGGAATAAAATCTACCTTCAATGAAAACTTATCAAAGTCAAACATTTATCTTGTATCTTTCATCTGTTATTCAAATTGATTCAGTGCCTTCTTTTGACTACATCAAGCAACTTTCATCTCCTAAAGTTTCATGAAAATTGTTACCAAGCTAGTCCCGTTTAATATTTATTACATATTTCAAATATTACTGTTCGTTACAGTTATAAAAATATGTTCAATTGCAGATCGAGACTAGGGTGCCAAGTAGTAATGACCAAGGAACTGGATGGTCTCGAAGTGCAAGTACCAGCCACTATTAACGATGCTAGGACGTAACGAACAAGCATGCTATTAACTTTATAAGAGGTATCCAAATCATATGTGGCTGGTTCATTCCACCTTTTAGATCGGCTCCATATTTAGTAAAATTCAATCTACATATACATAGCAAAAAGCTTCCAGTAACGTAAACGCATCGGGTGCAACAATACTATGTATAGAACGATAGGCAAGGAGATAGCCTCTTCAGGCTTCTGTTTATATTTTTATTAAAATCTGTATATTGTAAAAAATTGTATAAAATATTGTATATTATATAGAGGCACTTTTTTGTATCTCTGTAAATATATAAAAATGTACTATTGAATTTTATCTAGAGATTTTATCAATCAAAATGGATGTTGCAAAAGAATGTTGATAAACTTCTCTTTCTTTAAGTTCTCTCTCGAAAATAAATTCTTTCAAGGAGCCGGCCCGAAAAATCACATTCCCTGTCGATATTGGTTTCCTAGAATGAGGCTTATTAAGCATTATTTGAGAAGTATTGTGCTGCTGAAACATGATCCGTCATGTTATCTGTCGCTCTACATATATGGTTTACATATATAGTCAAACATGAACATATATGTGCATTTTCAGTGCAGACTCTTATCTAATCGAAAGGTCACGAATTGAATGACGAAGGATTTTAATCTGTATCCGTGCAACAACATTCTAGTCATTTTATTGATACGAAATATATGACGTGACGAATTTTATTATTGTCTGCAAAATGATATTGCTTAATCATCTGCCTGTTGACAGCAAATCGAAATGTTCTTCGCTCGGGCAAGTTGGTACACGCGTACTCGTCGCAGTGTGTATATGTTCATAATAATTTATTTTTCTTCTTCTCAATTAATTACATACGAAACATACATCTACTGTTATTACATAATTATCAGTACATAAAGCTAAAACACTTTTGTACTATGCGCGTTATATGTGGACCCAACAAATAACTTACTCGCTCGATTCAGTTATGTACTGCTACTTGCAAGATGTATTATTGCTACACTACTTACAAACGCGACCAAGTGTGTTTACATGTCGTCGCGAATCGCGCAATTTACATATTTTCATCTCTCTCTCTCTCTCTCTCTCTCTGTCTGCCTTGTTCATTATTTTTTCCTGCATTTTTTCCGAATACATCTCTACAATATGATAGATATTCTCCTTATGTACATACACACTTAACCGAATCGTCTTTCAGTTCGTACATCCGCTCCATAACCGTAAGAACAAGTTCACTCATTCTTATTCCCGACATTTTACTCCGATTTATAAGCTACATACGAACTGCGAGTGCTAGTAAGTTCTTTGAAGCAGTTCGGTGATGATCGAACGTCAGAATGTAAAATTACGTGCCTACAAACGAATTCAGACGTAAACTATCGATAGAGAATTTCTGCAAAACACATACCATACATTTAGATATGTAAAAATACTCTCGATCATTTTCCGGGTATCAAATGTCGATAGCGTGACTAAATTTCGAAACCTGGGAAACACTAATTTGTGACGTAAGTGCCTTACATCATCCCCGCGGATTATCGAACGTCTCTTTATGTGGTTTTACGTAAGCCGTTACATTGCATGGTACTCTTTATGGTTTCGTGCAACACCATAAGTGGTAGAAGTTTTCTCTACTCTCTCTCTCTCTCTCTCTCTCTCTCTCTCTCTCTCTCTCTCTCTCTCTCTCGATTTCGCACTCGATTATATAGGAAGTTACATTCCGAATGCTATGGATATCGCAAGCGTGAATATATACATATACTGAGAGAGAATCAAGATAAAATGTTAATATAAACATATATAAGTATTCCACGCACATTACGTGTTTGCATGTGTATATAAACGTGAGTATTAATATATTTTCCAAATGTGTAAGATTTCTTTTTCGTGTATTATTGAATGTATACTTGGAGTTTTATTCTAACTGGGAAGGAGATTTAACACGATATATTATTTCAACGACCGAAAACAAAAAATATATTGAACAAACATGAAGGCTCTTGCAACTTTTTCTTTCCTTTTCTCTCTCTCTCTCTCTCTCTCTCTCTCCTCTTTGTTGTAAATATTTTATACTTATTTTTATGTACTGAAACTATGATTCCTTTCTTTAAAGTATATTTCTTCACGACCGTAAGCGCGCGCCGCGATAATGATATAAAAATATAAACCTAATTCTAAGTATGCTTAAATCTAAATTCATAGAGGCTCTACTGTAGCTCGTTACTTTTAGTGTATAAAACGCACCGATTTTGTTACTACGTTTTAGGGGAAACGTAATCATGTATTTAATTTATAAATTATGCAACGCATAGATTCTCCTTTTTTTCATTCGGAGGCTCGGAGCTTGTCGAACTCGTTCGGCTAATTATTTTTTACGGGCCGTTGGTAGATTAATGAATGTCCAGATTTACACTTTGTGGCATTCGGAGCCCGTCGATCCATGCTCTCCTTATTGAGTTTTTTTTTTATTTTTTTTTCGCTTACATACGATACGCTACTCATCTCACATTAATTACCCGCTCCCTTCCTTTCTCATTCTCTTCCGCTCCTTTTTTATTCCTTAATTTTAATCGAGAGATTTAAACCTCCCGACGGGCTCAAACCTGATTCTGCCACTGTCTCGAGTTCGCAAATTTCAAGCATGTCGCAACTGAGGCAATCTACAAGATAAAGTATACGATACGCTGTATGTTTGCCCTTCCCGGGAATTGATCCATTCTAAATCTAGACAATGAAATGTCAAGTTTTCGAATTGATTCTGAGACGGATCTATTAAATACTTTTTAACTTTATTCTCTTTTTCCTCGTATACCGCCTTGATCAACGGCGCGATTATGCGATAACCAGAATTTTTAAGTCTTATGCTTCCGTGTGTGAACGAAAGTAACCTAGGACTAGAGGTTTTGCAAGATAAGTACAACTAATACTAATATAATAATAATAATAATAATTATAATATTAATAATATAATAATAATATAATAAGCGAAAACATGGCAAGATACATATACGTGCCAATTTCTTCTAGTGTCTTCTCCGGATTTATCACGTGTCGAAAATATTGATTGTGCTGTTTCAAGTTCATTTTTTAACAATTGTATCCGATTATTATAATTCGATAATCACGGCAATTTTTCGGCAAGCATCGATATGCAATTGCGCGCGGTTTCGCGTCGAGCTGTGTTTCTTTTATTTTATTTTTTTGTAATCATTACTAACCGCGCGAGTTTTCGCCATTCTATACAATACGACTTGTCGCACGCTCGCTGCGACAGAATTGTACTACTTTGTTACGTGTATATTTATTTACGAGGCGCATAATATATAAAATACACTCGATGCGAAAGAATTTTTTCGTCGGAACTGTGCGCAACAGGTTACCGAAACCTGTTGCTGCTCCCGATGATTTCACGGGATGTGTATACAAGCTGTGTCAGGTAAAAGCGTAAATCGGCAAGTTTTGTTCGGCGAGATCGACGCGGCGGAATTTCTCCGAAGAATATTATGTACAGCGCGGTAGTATGTACGCGGTTCCTCGGGACGCGCTTGTAAAGGCGATCGAGGCGAAACCTGCTTGAGAAAATCGTAATTGGTAGCGATATGCAAAAGAATGTAGCTCGTCAAGGTCAACAGGAACTAACACTACCGACAAGTCATTAAATCATGTTAGCTACAATACTAGCAGGATCAAGACACCTCAGACTCCGACTATGCGAGAACGTATCGGCGGGGAAGAGAAGAAAGAAGAACATAAATCGGGTAATACTGGTTGGTTAATGACCCAAGTTTGTAAAGGCGGTCAACGGCTTAGAGTGTACATAGATTTCAAGGTGCGAGGTTTATCATCGCTAATTGCCGGAATACGCACGATAAACGGACGCATGCGACTGACGAAATCTCATCCGGTAATGTCCAACGGCGATTTCAGACTTGTGGACAACGGCGCGAATTGGTAATCGCCATTCTACTGACGTAATAATATCAACTGTCAATAATAATTACCGATGCAAAATAAAATCTTAGGCGCGTGTGTATGTAACGTTACGATTCGCTCGTGCAGACTTAATATATTTGAGTAATTTAGTCAATTTGATATATCCGGTTTTTAATCTACGGTATCCTAAGCCTATCTTAATTTTTCGATATCTTTCTTGGACAGTTTCATCTCTAAGCTCGATGCTTCACAAAATATATTCTTACTTAGAAGTCCTTCAAAGATCAGATTTTTTTGTAATAAAATAAATTTATCTTGCGATAACATCTGCATAATATGGCATCACGATGACTAAAGGAATAGCGCGACACACATCGACGACTAAACTCAGCAAGACGGAATTTCAGCCGCATCTCGTGATTTCTCGCGTAGACGTTGATTCTTAGATTATTGGCTTTTAGGATGCGCCTAAGATTACGCTAATTTGAATTTACATCAAACATTCTGTCTATCGTTACGTGATCGTTACGGATCGCAAGCAACAATGTACACGCGAGAATTCGTCGGTCCGGCGTCTTCGCTTTCGGCGGTTCGCGTTGCGGGTATTACAAAGGGCGCAAAGTGCTTCCCTCTCGGGGCCTTAATCGGCGCGCTCACTCATACCACCACGTCGAGTTTAAAGCGCGGTTAAGCCCGGGACTAAGACCGCGCCGCCGTGCGCGCACGAACTCCGAATAAATTGCCCGGCAACAGGTCATTCCGATTTCTCGGCGGTGTTTTCCTGGAGATCGCGTCGTACATTACATACAATTTGTGTCACCGACACATTTTGGCCCCTTTCCATATAAATCAGCTTTTTAACCAGTGGAGGGCTGTGCTCGTACACGAATTCATGACTTAGATTATTTCCGTTGTGTATGCGATAGATCGAAAACACCGACAAGCCGCCGAATAGAGACTCCCTCGGACTCTCGAGATCCGTTCCTTCGACTCTTCTAGGCTTACGGAGTCCGAGAGTCTTTCTACTCCGGTACAGTGCTTCCTACAAGCTGCCCGCGATACTCTTCGTCAACGTCTCCGTAAACGTTTACAATAACAGAAACATGAATTCCACGAAGCTTACGATAAACACTCTCGTTGATCGGCTCAGAGAACATGTATCTCCCTTGATATCGCGGAAACCCATTCGCTCTCATGACACTCCCCGTCTCTAGACGAGAGTGGACAATTCGTGAGGACTGTTGGTGGTAGCGGCACTGCTCAGGTCGAGCGTGGCCGTTGGCAGACCGGGGCTGACGCTGCCACTGGTCTCGCGCGGCAAGTGCTGCGACCTGTTGAGCTTGCCGCTGCTACCTCCTCCTCCGCCGCCGTTGCCGCCGCCGCCAGGACTCGGCGGCGACCGGTCGCCGGGCGTCGTCGGCGGTGTGGCGGTGACGATGCCGCCGCCGCCGCCGCCGCCGCCGCCGCCGCCACGATGCGACAAATGGTTGTGCTGCGACGATGCCTGCGGCGACGACAGCAGCAGCGGCGGCGACATCGACACGTGCCGCTGATGATGATGATGCTGATGTAGGTGCTGATAATGGTGCAAGCCGCGAGCCGATTGGGCCAGGCTGGCGGTCGAGTGGGTGGTCGCCGGACCGGCGATCTTCGCGCCGACGTGCAGCGTCGATAGCGTCGACGGTCGTAGCTGCAGCTGCGACTGGTGATGGTGGTGGTGATGTTGCTGCTGCTGCTGCTGCTGCTGTTGCTGTTGCTGTTGCTGTTGCTGCTGCTGTTGCTGCTGCTGTTGCTGCTGCTGCTGCTGCTGATGATGATGATGCTGCTGGTGATGTTGCTGCGAGTGCTGCGAATGCGCCGGTTGATGCGACTGCGACTGGTGCTGCAGCTGCAGTTGCTGCTGCTGACGCTGCAAGTGCGCCGCCGCCGCCTCGCACTGCTCGCGGGCCAGTGCTTTCACCGCGTTCGTCTTCTCCTGCGAATCATATGAGACACGAGGTCACATTCTGTGGTTCCTCTCGTGTGTGGGGCTACCTGCTTTTCGTCGGGGGAGGATGTCGAAGAGGCACGGCTTCTCTTTCGGGACGGAGTGTCCAAGTCGCGTGTGTTTGAGGAATTCGCGTTAACAGGACAGGCATCGTTCCGAGCGCGCGCGCGCGTGTGTGTGTGTGTGTAGAGAGAGAAAGAGAAAGAGAGAGTGTGTATGTACATATGTGGGTGCGTGACAGGAATTAGGAGGTCAGTGTCATTGACGTTGGAGACGCACGACGCGGCTATCGGACGGGAGCGACGAGAGCGGGAACGTTGCCGTTGCGAGCGATTCTTAACGCATTTTCGATTAACGGTATTGCGACATGGAGGTAATGCGTCTAATTCTAACGGAACGTTAGGAACATTCTCCTTCGGGACGTGTTACTCTTACGATCTCCGAACGATTAGACCCCGCCGATTCCCGCTCCTCCTCCTCGTCGTACTCGAGCGCGCGAACACCCGGCTCTAACGCTCGCGTTGTCTCTTTCCTTCAGCTTTTTCACAACTTCATCGAGATTGAGGATAAAGTCGTACATTAAATACAGATACGTGGAGGAAGATCTCCGCTGCGGGAGACAGTAAATCAACGTTGCGGCGAGAAACGTAACGAAAGAGGGAGGGAGGGAGAGAGAAGAGAGAAGAGAGAGAGAGAGAGAGAGAGAGGGGAATCTTTTTCCATCTCTTTCTCTCTCCCGTCGTACGATTTATGTAACGGCGAAGTATCGGCGAAGTTTATCGTTGTATGAGGGAACGAAGTCGAGGAGGTGGAAGAGGAGAGTTACAGAAATCTTCCGCTTAATTATACAATTACGCAATGCGAGGCGAAATATCGTCCCGGAATCACGCGAGCGTAAAGTTTATCTGCTATCGGTCCTTCTTCTCTCGTGTTGAAAACTTGCGGCGAACACGTCGGTTCACACCCACCATCCTCTTCGCGCGCGCGCACGCAAAAGCAGGCACGCGTGTAGTACGCACGACATCCCGCGTACGGATCCAGTTTGGAATCGAATTACACGGTAGAATGATCACCGACGTAAATAATAGCGTGATAATGACATCGATCGTAGCGGGATATGCTAATAAGGTACGGCGGGGGGAGATTAAGAGTGCAGAACGCGGCGGTAACGGGGGGTAGGGGGTGGGGTGGGGGAGGGAGGGGGAGGAGATGTGTGCAGACCGCGCGCTGCATCGCCGGCTCGTGAAATACGAGAAAATAAAGAGAGGCGGACTGCCTCTCTCTACGACGGAGAGATCCGTATATCGCGATGATCGAAAGAATTCGCACGCCGTTAGGCCGCCGGTCGTGAGGGGAGGGACAGAGGTGAGGGAGCGGGAGGGAGAGTGGGCTGGCGAGCGAGCGAGCGAGCGAGCGAACGGGCGGGCGGGCGGAGAGAGAGGGAGCGTAAAAAATGCATTTCCAGGCGGTGTACTCACTCTCTGCCACACGAAGACGTTGTGGACCATGGCGCACCCGCAGAACACGATGCCGAGGCCAATGAAGACCGACGTGACGATCGCCGGCGTCGAGTGGAACTGGATGAACGTGTACAGGATCATACCTGCGGATCACGCGCGAACGGGATTAATATATGCACACACACACACACACACACACATACACACACCACGCACACACGCGCGCATCTCGCGATGATTAGAGACGCGCGGAATCATTAGCTCGTTAGCGGGGGTATCAGAACTGACGTAGGATATAAAGTCGTAGCAACAGGTGCGCGATATAAGGAGTTGTGATATATTTATGTGTATTTTGCGCGGCGAGTTAGAGACAAACATCTCTCTCTCTCTCTCTCTCTCTCTCTCTCTCTCTCTCTCTCTCTCTCTCTCTCTCTCTCCCTCCCTCTCTTTCTCTCTCTCTTTCTCTCTCTCCCGATCTCCGTTGGCTTCCGCATACGGAGAAGCGGGATTCTTGTCGATGAGTCGCGGAGATGTGACGATCGACGTCGGTCGATTGGCGGCGGTCTTGATACGTGCCATACACGGAGAGACAAGAGATCGCTTCAACTAACGATTGCTTCGAGATATATGAGAATTTCCGGCGCTTTCGATCGAATTCGGCTCATGGGAGCCAGAAATTCTGTCTTTTACCGCCCCGAAAAAACGTTCGCTCGCATCGTCACGTTAATTCACAAGCTTTCTTCTTTTTCTTCATTCTCTCTCTCTCTCTCTCTCTCTCTCTCTCTCTTTCTCATAATAAGGATCATGTATAAAATATGAGACGTGCACGACAGCATTAACATTTCACAAAGTGAAGCTTCAGAAGCTTGCGCTCTTCACCTTGCACGACCGCGCTCGCGGATAACAATCGCAATTACGCGGATCCTTCCGAACGCGGACGCGGCAGCGAGATTCGAGCGATACGATAAATGAAGAAAGGGGTTCGTTCTCACCAGTTAAGAAGACCGGAATGCTAATGAAGAAACCTCCGACCGCGCACACGCGGCTGATGGACGATTTTTGCAGGTACTTGTTACTCCTGAAACAGAGAAAAGTCACCGAGCGAAGGTGAGTTTCGCGTGTCCATGATAATTGGGCGAGTTATAAAGGATTCGCGTTTCGCCGCGTCCTCACCGCGAAGGGGAGCGCGCACGAATTGCCGGGACTTCGGTGGTACTCGGCAATTACGGCTCGCAAAAACGCCATAATGGCGCCCGCTCGTTCCTAGCCCGTACTTATTGCTTATTACGCGACAATCGCCAACACTAATTGCGCGTTGCATTGTATATCAACTCGGCCGTTTCACGTATCAGTCACGTATTTTACCGACACGTGATTTTTTTTCATACAACGTAACGTCGCGCTCGTTACACCTCAATTCAACCTCAATTCAACCACGACTGTCAATTACCGACTTTGTGCCCTACGTTTGTGATACTTTCAAGTTAACCCTTTCACTGCTGAATTAACTTCCCCTGAAAAAATTATTAAAATATTTGGTAGTCCTACGTTTTTTGGGTCGCTGATTACGAATCTAAAGTCAGACTTGCAAAATTCAAAATGGCGGACTCAATATGGCGATCATGCTGTACAAAATTAATGAGAATTCCAATTATTATTAAATAATGACCAGGTCGTAATAAGAACATATGATTCTAGACGATGGAACTCGATCGAGCTGGAAAAAATTTATGTGGGAAAATGTTCAACACTGCATATTTATGCTTACTAGAGATTAAACGTTCATTTTTGAGTAAAATAATATTGATAGTATGGATAAGATGAAGATACAGAATGAAAAAAGCTAGGAAAATAGAGCTAAAAAGTGCAAAAAAATCAAATTTCGGCCGTTTTTGTAGAAATATCTGATTATAAAAAAAATCAAACCTACAAAAAAAAAAATACTGAAAAAAATATATGTTTTTATACAACATCAGAAAAATATTTGGTAAAAATTTCAGACCTCTACATTCAATACTCTCCGAGGAATCGATTTTTCCCTAAAAAAAGTATTTCTTTCAACTTTGATTTGTTACAAATAATCACAAATGAATAATTCGGTATAAAAATCTATCGGAGTATATTGAACAACTATTCGATTATCTGGAAAACTCAAATCCCCGATTAGTTTTTCAAAATTGTGTGATTTACAACGCAAAATTGAATCAAGAAAAGGTGGGAAGTGCTACTGACAGTAAAAGGGTTCAATTAAAAACGAAGCAGAGCTTCGTTTGTATCGACTGATCGAAATATCCTAGATCGTTTCTCCGAAAGCATGAAACGAAGAAAATGTTCAACAAACAAAAGGGCTCCCCGAGACCCTCGGCGCGACGAGAGTGTTCTCGGTACTTCGCGCTGGGACGAGCGCGGAGTCGCACAAATATCTCACGTTCTTCGGGCGATATTGCATAATCGCGAAAGTGCAACGCGATACGATCGGTACGTAACGGTACATCTCCGCAGGTAACTCGCGCTTTTCTTTTTTCCTCTTTGTCTTCGAACGATATTTTGTCGTGCGCGCGAGAGGCCAACGATGGCTCCGTCTCTCTCTCTCTCTCTCTCCCCCCTCTCTCTCTCGATCGAACGTCTGTACGCCCGGTCGAAAGAGAGCCGGACCTGTCAAAACGAATTTATGGTCCCGACGGAAACACGGACCACTAGGTGTTTTTGTGGCGCAACTAATCTCTCATACGTCGCGGTCGCACTGTGGTTAAGGAGCGCCCTCCGTCGTAATCATCCTCACGGTTCACCATAAATAAAACGTCGGCTACAATGCTGCTAAGGCGCGCGAAGCTGATAAAGACTATTACTTAAAGACCGCCTTTAACTCCTTCGGATTAGATCCACCAATTGGGATGCATCAGCGCCGTTTCACGGGAATGCCGCGGTCGGACGAGATTTGAATGAATTATCCGAGGGAGAAGAGAGGAGAAAGAGTGGAGGGGAGGAGGTGGGCCCGGTGATTGAATATAATTGAAATTTACGACGAGACACCAGTCGGATTTGATTCGTGAGAGAGTACATAAATCGCGGCCAACATCGTCTCATTTATCCGCCGTGCGTATTTTTCACGTACACACAAAGATATGATGGATCGTATATGTCTCGGGCGGAGGAGGGAGAATTTAGGAGGAGATCCCCCGCCTGAGAAAGGATCGCTCCTCCTTCTCCGAATTCAGCAGATTAAAGGAGCGCGTATCCGGCAGGCGTCCCGACGCATCGGGACGCACGCCCGCATTCAATGTGTCTATACGGCAGAGAGTGTATCGAGTTAATCAAGGCGATCTCCGTCGCCGTAAATTAATTGCGGTTATGGTAATTCGTCGAACAATGCGGTAACTCTATACTCTCGGAAATAAGTTACCGCGGTACCAGGTCTACCGAACAATGGTACTTCTAATCACTTCACATGACCCGCTCGTGCGTCCAAAGCGATCGTTGACCCCGAAGGGCGGTAGCAACGGCTGCGTGGGAATTCTTCTTCATTGCGCCTTATAGACGATGCTCATTTAAAAGCGACACGTAGACGAGGTGGATTCGTGAGTTTTTGCGGGGAGGAACGAGGCTTCTCCCGATACAGCGAGGGACAGGGAGGAGACGACGACGCCCGATCACCGCAATCGTGTTATCCGTGCGAACGTGAGAAAAATTATAAGGAAACCGCGCGCACGCGTGCGAGAAAGGGCAAGAGAGAGAGAGAGAGAGGGGGGGGAGGAATACCATGAGAAAGATTCTCGAGCGTCATCTTCGATGTAAAAGAAATTCGAGTTGTTCGAGCGTCTTTCTACGAGTAGAATTCTATCCCGGATTTCAAGTTACAAATCGTCCGAAGCTTCGCTCGTCTCTCCTCCCGTTTTCCCCTGCTTGAAAATTGACTAACGAGTCTCGTATATCTTTATACGATGCGATACAGAATCGTCACGTCCGCGTCTCATTGCCGTCGACCCTCTCTCTTTCTCTCTCGGCTCGATGAAGAAACTATTTGATCCACCCGGCCGTGAATAGAGACGCGCGAACGCGCTTTTGTCGCCTCCTCCTCCTCCTCCTCCTCCTCCTCTTCCTCCGTCGTTATTGTCAACGTTGCGTTTGTGCATCGGCTCGCCGTTCATGAATGAACGTACCCAGTCAAAGGCAGCGCGCGCGCGCGCGCGTCTTCCTGCTTAACGTGCGAGATCAACGGGGATCCGTTGTGCGCCGACGGAGCTCCGAGAGCGAGTCACTCGCTCGAGCGAGTGACAAATCACGTCGCCGACGGCCGCCGCGAACTCTTACACCCGTCGTACGAGCCCCCCCCTCCCCCCGCCGCCCGTGGGAGAGCTCTGATTCTTTCGCGGGGAGTCATACATATGCATCGTCGCGCGCGTGCTAACTGTTAATCGCCGTCGACGATGCGACCGACGAGAGCAAGAGAACGCGCGCGTGATTGCGTATTCCTACGGCGTGTTTTCTCGCACAGTGGGAATCGTTTCATCGTTACACGCAACACCGCCGCCGACAATCGTTCTCCATCGTTTGCCCGTCCCGTTGCATATTCCCCGTATCGACGACCGCTAGATTAATTGTCCCGAGACTCGCAGTTTTTCACGCGCGCGGTCGACCCGATCGGAAAATCCCACTCCGGGGCTAACGGGTCCCGCTGTGAAAACTACTCCTGATCTTTGTTTGCCCGCGTGATCTCTTTCATCCAGCGCCGGTAGCTTCGCTCCTCTCGAGTTGTTTATCGCAGAGTCAGCGGTCGCGTCGGCTGGCGGAAAACAGAGGACGTGTTCTGGACCGAACTGGACGATGATCGCTAATAATAATCGACGAGTGACATCGATCGACGATAGCGAGAAAAGATTCCGAGCGATGATCTCTCGATGACGCTCCGCGTCCACGTCGAGAAGCGCCAGTCATGCGAATAACATCTCCATTTCACGGTACAATTATCGGCCCTCCTGTACGCGATCGATCGCGTGGATCGCGTCCGGGAAATGGAAACGGCGGCGGCACGCGTGAGCGGCTAAATCGTCGGAAGCATTGACCCCGAGAGCGCGCTCGCGCCACGCATCGGACCGAAATATCCGCGAAGCCGGTTGATATTTATAAGCCGTAAGGCTTATTAATTAGGCGCGTCCGACCGAGACCGACCGGCCAGCCGGTCGGTCGGGAGAGTCTCGGCGACCGGCGCGGCGCGGCTTTGAACAGCCGCGCGGAAAATCGCGCGCGCGCAGCAGCTGCTGCTGTGTTCACGGCCAGGGCCGAGAACAAGTTCGAGAATGTCGCTGTAGAGCGGGAGTCTCGTTCCGCGTGCTAGAGTGACATTCTTGAACGCGCGGCCGGCTGTGATAAGCAGCGGCGACGCTGTATCTCGAAAGTCGAGCGCGTGCGAAGAACGCGCTCGTTCGCTCGCTCGCTCGCTCGCTCGCCAATCGTGTCCAGCGAGCGCGATAAGTCCGATGATCTTTTCCGCTGGCGTAACGGTAGATTAAACCGAGATCGAGACGCACGGAAAGCGCGCGATGAATCAAGCGAGCAGGGACGGGCTGCGACGAAGAGCGTGCTGCGAGAGGAGTCTTATGCGTTTCGTCAAAGCACGCCCCTTTGCCGGCTCTTCGTGGCGTTGAGCGTCGTGAGGCCCCGAGGACTGGTAGATCCGCTGAACCTAGTCAGCTGAACGCGTCAGTCTAGTTCTCGCGGAAGTGCCGACGACGACGAGAGCTGTTCGTGTTCCCCGTGGGATGATCATCCGCTGCTATGCTCCTTCCTTCCTCCCTCCCTCCCTCCCTCACTCACTCACTCACTCACTCACTCTCTCTCTCTCTCTGTCTCTCTCTCTCTCTCTCTCTCTCTCTCTCTCTCTCTCTCTCTCTCTCTCTCTCTCTCTCTCTCTCTCTCTCCCTCTCTCTCTCTCTCTCTCTCTCTCTCTCTCTCTCTTTCTATATTTCTCTACCCCTTTGAGAGCCACGCAAGCACCTGTGTACGTGCAGCACACGTGTGTACACGTGCGCGAACGAGGCTCGCCGTTACAGGAAGAAGTGCGCTAGAGATGGTGCGCACTCCGTTGCGAAACGGTTACGACGAGAACCTACGAGAGCGTAGCACCCAATCGAGAGACGCGCTGCACGCGCGCTTGCTCGTCGTTGTTATTCCACCGCGGCTGGGCCCCTCCTGTCGTTGTCTTTATACGGTTCGCCGCGGACCGAGGTTCGCGACGGCGACGAGAACGACGACGACAGTGACGAGCGGAGCGGCGCGCCGAGGCTGTTTCAGCGGCCGCCCTGGGCGCTTCCGGTGGAAGTCGAACAGTTGGACGCAACGCGGCAGTAAAGAGCCACTATAACCAGCTAGAGCCGCTACTCCAATTTCCGCGAGCGGGCGGGGATGATTTCCGTGTTTCGGCTTCCGAAATCTCTCTCTT